AAGACAGTTGCCAAACTAAATTAATCTAACACGATTTTTATAAATGGATTCGTGCAACTAATAAAATTCTGAATGTAAACATTACAATTTGTATAAGATGTATGTATTTTTATATATTTGATATATACATATATTGTTCAGAATATAAGTCAGTTTTTGATCGACAGGAACGCATGTATGTTTCAAAGGCCAACAAATTTGTTAGCAATTGGTTTATTTACGTTGGAAATTTGTGGACTAACACACATCATTAGAATATTACTTTATTTATTTTTTTATTTAATCCTCGATTATTTGTTAGAAAAGAGTTTAGAATTTATCTTCAAATTCTCAAACACATTGAATTTTTGTTACAAATCTTGTTCTAAAAAATTAAATTTAATAATTATTATAAATACGGCAACAAAAAAAAGGAGAAAAAAATATAAAAAATTTTTTTTAATGTATTTAAAATATCTGTAAATTTTTAGAACGCCTTTTGGATTATCATTATACTTACACAATATCTATTTAATGTAACATATGTGATTATTGTAATCTATTTACACTTATAATCTATTTACACTTTGTAAATATTCTTTACATGCTATTGCAATATCTTCTAGATATTTGCTCAAGATATAAAAGAAATAATACGTTCCTAATATGAAGTTTCAACTGTAAAGAAATGTTATGGAAAGCATGATGAATTGAGATTCGATGATAATCCAAGGCAAATTTTGAAATAAAATTTTATAAATAGTATCCACGTATTTTACGGCCAACAGAAAAGACGCACAGTTCTGGCGAGGACGAACCAATTATTTACCTATGTCTTTACACTTGCCATTACCAAAAATACACGTTGTTAGATACTCTCAGAGTCCTCAGTGCATACTTATTTCATATATGCCTTTTTATGGGATTCGTGTTATATTATATACATGCGTACTTGCACTTGAATCTAGAATGTTGAAGTTTACTACGAGATTATTTCTTTCTCGAAATACATTCACTTTTATTCTCTCATTCCTCTCTTTGCAATCTTTCGTTCATAGAACAGCACGATTTCGTACATAGTGTATAAAATAGATTTTATTCTTAATTAATGCACGCCAAAATCTTTTGATTTATAATAGATTCAAGCGATTGCTGTGTCTCATTTTTTATTATTATATTTACATTAATGGAAATTAGAAAAAAACGTTGCCGTGTAAAAGTATTTTTAAAAATCATTAAAATATATTTTGATTGACGTAATCACTTGTCTCTACCTTTTATTAATATGTTAGAGCTTAATATGATCAGAGCTAAAAAGTGTTTGAAAATTTTCTTATAGTGAAATCGTGAAGTAAAATCATAAGAAATTGCAAACATAATTTTTTATATGGAGACAGAGAGAGAGAGAGAGAGAGAAATTCAATACTTTTTTATGAAATTTGTGATTCTTCTTATTATTAATTTTATTATTCTCATAAGAAATAAGAGTCGGCTTTTTGCTGCATTTTTATTTCTTAATATAGTAATGTTTTACGGAAATATATATCTTTCTAAGATTAATTTTATAATAATAACAAAATTATATTTATTTATTATATTTAGGTATAACATTTTTATTTCACAATTCTATTACGTTAATATTAATATTTGTATTAATAGAAAATTTATTTTTATTATGAATTTATTATGAATTTCTTTTATTGAAATATATAATACATTCACTTACCGCTTTTGCCGACTCCTGGAGCTCCTATCACTGCTACTTTAACTTCGCAAAGCGAACTTTTCTTTCTTCTGATGCCTCTAATCGCATTTGACGTCATACTACAAGCATTTGTTACTGCAAGAAAATAAATTAGAACGATATTGAATCATAAAGAAACATCTAATAAATATCTGAAAAAAAGTTTCTAAAGATGTTCAATTATACTCTTGGGAGAATATAAAGGAGATATATGATCTCAAAACATAAAAATAACTTTTAACTGCATTTTATTATTACAAAATGAAAAATATTATATTTCTATAAAAAGACAATTTATATAAAATCTTAGTATTATTTTTATTATTAACGATAATATGAATAAATTAATGATCACTAGTGATGAATATTTATTGTTCTCTCCTTCTTTCTTAATATTATTATTACTATTTGCAAATTTAAAAATTTACGTGATTGCATTACAAAAATTACATTTGAAAAGAAGGAATATCCAATAGATTATATTATATTTATCAGCATTTATTATATTTATTATATTATATTTATTATATTTATTTTGCATTTATTATGTTTTATCGCCAAATTATATAATATTTCATTGTTTTTTGGATAATCGAATTACGATTTATATACCGAATGTTCCACTTCTTCTAGAACATAATAACGAATATTTTTATTGTATTTTGTGGTATCCGCCGCTTGTTTTTCTTTAGACGCATGTTTGAATAAATCGCGTTACACGTTGAAAGAAGAAGAGAACGGCAAGAGCGCCTGTCAAGAAATGAGAGAAAGAGAGATAAAGCGAGAAGCGGATAAGACGAAGGCAAGATGTGATGGGTACATTAATAGAACGGTTTGCACACACATGTTCCATGGAATCTCAGGAATTTCTTCCAATGTCTAACAATGTACCAGGGTTGCGAATACCGGGCGCGATGAGAACAATAATGCGGTTTGTTACGAAATTTCTATATAATCTCGTGTGCGATAGCTTAGATTCGACATTGCTTCTAACCTAATGTAATAAAGAGTTTATTACATTCTATAGTAACTACTTAATCATATAACATATTTTTAATTTATCTTCGATAAATAGTAAATCTTTGAATTGTTGTAATATGAAAACTAATTCAAATGCTCTTCTTTCTCTTAATCTCTAAAATGTTAAAGTATGCACTGATGTATTTAATAACACACTTTTCTAAATGAATGCACATTAATGAGTCTTGGAACATTTCACCGCATAATAAAATAGCCGCGGATCATATAGCCCAGATATAAATAGGTGTCGCTAATGATGTAAAAATGTGCAAATAAATAGATCTAATGTAAGTAGACAATATTTAACACAAGTAAATACTTTTTCGCCGAGAGGTACTTTCTCCTTTCCTTTGCATAAGTGTGAAATATTTTTTTATTTCTTTTTCCATTCATGTCAATATTTTATAGTTACTCATTAATTAATAACTAAAAAAGTTACTAGACACTTGCGATTATAAAATTATAAGATGTATAAAATTGTATTACTTTTTGGAAAGACTATACACTCTTAATTTTGGCACCATGTAAAAATATATACGATTATTGATATAATTTCTCTCTCTCTCTCTCTCTCTCTCTCTCTCTCTCTATATAT